CAGTCTTTCAAAGGTGTATTGCAAACACCGACCTTATCAGTCCTTGGATAGTTGCCAGGCAGAGAGCTTCCAGGCCCACGCTGTACAAGGAAATACTTGGCAAGGAGCCTCTCAGATAAGCAAATCTTCACACTAATAAGCGAACTAATTGTCTCCTGCAAACTCCACTCCCCTTACGCTCCTATTTATTTCCTATGGGAGGGGCCATTCAGCGTCCCCTTGTGCCTTTACTCCCGAGTCAACTCCTGTTTCTTAATTGTTCCTTTCTCCTGACAGCTCCGCGCATGCGCACATCGGAAACAGGCTCCAACTGTTCTTCTGCCCCACTCCTAAGGTAGCTGAAAACTGTCAGACAGCCCTGGCCCCATCTCTGTCTCCGACACGGAGCACCCATCAGAGGTTTCCCCAGACTCCAGGACTGGCTCATGTTCCTCCCCAACCTCTTCACTATCTGAGTCTGCCGCCAGCTCTGCTGGCCACTAGTGGGTCACAACAGAAACAGCAAAGGAAACAGCAAATATATATATAGAAAGATGTTAAGATCTTTGCATGGTATTGCTTCATTTGTGGAATTGTGTTGTGTTCCTCCATCCCCTGCAATAGGAGGTGTTGTTTTGAACATTTGCAAGCCTGGGAAAAGGGGCAGCTTCTTCCCACTGGTAGCCTTTTGGGGGTTGTACCACTGAAGGGAGACATCAGAAATCCCAGCGGTAGAAGCTCCGATTCACTCACCCGTCACTCGCCGTAAGCAGTTTGGTCTCTTCTCGTCTGGGACTCGTACCACCAGGAAGTAGACCGGAAGTCCAGATGCCGCAATGGCAATGCCGATGGCCGAATTGATAGGGTCGGTGTAGAGCGGTACAGCCACCAGGAAGACGGTGCAGAGGCAGAAAATGATGGGGAAAATGATGGTCAACTACAGGAAACAGAAGCGGGAATCGGTTGAAGTCTCCCATTGCCGCAGAACTCACAGAAGTCCACCCATCACACTTAAGGACTCACACCAAATTTCCGGCTCGCTCTAGTGATGGAGCGCCAAGAACTTCTGCAGGGAAGACGTTCCACCATGAATTGTTCTCATTGTCAGGAAATTAGCCCTTGGTCTAATTTCGGAATGGGACAATTCGCCATGGCCAACTGGTCATGGTCAACTCACCGTGGCCAATTCAGCACAACCACCTTGCCATGGTCAACTCGCCGTGGCCCAGTGACTCGTATTTACAACGATTGCAGCCTCCCAGGATCAGGTGACCACCCTTTGTAACTTTCCCAGCCAGCTTCTGACAAGCGAAGTCAACCGGCGGGGGAGGGGGGAGACGAATTTGCCTAATGACCGTGTGATTCGCTTAGCAACTGCAGTGACTCGCTTAACAACCATGGCAAAAAAATGTCATAAAATGGGAAATTCACTTGGATTGCTAATGGAAATTTGGGCCTCCATTGGGGGTCACAAGTCGAGGATGGCCTGTATAGTTAGCATTGCCAGTTTAACGCTGGGCTGTGGAAAATGGAAGTTTTATACATTACGCAGCTAACAGCTCCTCTACCTTGAGTGGACGTTCTCTAGAAGGTTCCTTCCAGCGAAGATACAGTTGTCCTGCAATGGACAGGCCCACGAAGAACCAGTAGCTGAAGCTGTAGTAGTTGATGAGTTGAAAGATGTCTTCCACGCAAAGATAAATCAGAGCCATGGCTCCCTGCAATGGACAGACACCAAAAGGAAAGCCAAATCCTCTTAATAACATTCTCTTTCTTTAATTAAGAAAGTAACTAGAACATTAATGCTACAAATGGCAAGAGATATAAGACCGTACTATTACTGGAAAGATACAGGTTGATGCAATGAAAATGTGTAATAAAAAAATCAAGCTAAATTTAGTTTAGCAATAGCAATAGCAGTTAGACTTATATACCGCTTCATAGGGCTTTCAGCCCTCTCTAAGCGGTTTACAGAGTCAGCATATCGCCCCCAACANGGAGTTTGCAGGAGACAATTAGTTCATTCCTGCATTCTTGCCAAGTATTGCGGCATCTGAAAGATATCGGCCTGGCCACTCTCCAAGCCTGATAAAGATCGGTAATTGTGAACTATCTTGAAAGACTGTGGGCCGGGACTTTACTGGGGAGGAATTCACTGTATATTAAATAAAAGGGGTTTATCAGGACGAGGACTTGGCTTCGTGCCACTTGGGAAGCCTAGATCAGAATAAAGTATAGGCTCCAGCACTAGTCCGAAAGCTTGGAAGACGTAACTTGTGGTCCCTGTGACCGACCCAGATTGAATCCTGCAAATTTTTTTGTTGTTGTTTGCTCGCAGGGCCGTTGCGTCAGACCTTTGCCGAGAACCCTTTGAAGGAGGTGCAGCTCGAGGACAGCAAGCCACCGCCAAAAGAGCGACCCTGGGAAGATACGTTAATCTGAAGGACACAAGACACTACTCCAGTTTCGCTCTAGTTCCTTGTCCCTTCGTTCCTCCGTTCATCCCTAATAAAGATAGGTTTTTTTTTCGCTTCTGCCTGTTGTTGCAAGCTAAGAATCTGAAAGAAGTACCTCGACTTACAACCATCCGTTCACTTGACCATTTGAAATGACTCGGGATACAAGCTTCCTTTCTCCAGCCCAGCATGACGGTTCCTTTCCCCTGCCTTGCACAGGGAGTCAGGGAGTCGACTTAACGACAGTTCATTTAGTGTCCCTTCGAAGCGACAATGGCCCTGGAAAAAGGGGAGTTGTGCCCGTTGTTCACACTTAGGACCATTGCAGTGTCCCCAAGGTTAACGTGATTGACGCTCGGATGCTTGGCAAGTGGTTCATATTTACAACAGTCGCAGTGTCCCAGGGGTCATGCCATCCTCTTGTTGCGGCCTTCTGACGAGAAAAGTCAACGGAAAAGCCCGATTCACTTCACGAGCAGATTTCTAATTGAACAACTGCGGCGACACACTTAACGAACGCGGCAAGAAAAGTCAAGTGGACCGAAACTCGACCAATGTCTCACTTAGCCACATAAGTTTTGGGTTCAGTTGTGGTCGTAAGTTGAGGGCCACGTGTACTAGAAAATCTAGACCTCTCAGAGGGAATGTGCCAAGGCCTGGGATGGAAGAGCCTGCCAGAGGGAACAAATAGGAAGGAGGCTGCTTAGGACGTCAGGGATTTGCTCTGCGGATATGGGATGCGATTAATAGACTCCCGGGGGGGGGGAGCGGATGAGGGGGAGGGGTTAGTCTTGAGGGAGCTGGGTGGGGCCAGGGGAATGGCTCAAAAGGTTGTGGGACGGAGCATCAGCTCCAACAATTATTCTGTTCTTCCAGAAAGTGGTACTCAGCTAGTACCAATACGACATACAAGTATTGAAACCCAACATTGATGTCCTTTGTTGTGCTATCGGAACCTGACAGTTTCCAAGTTTTCCCCACTCAAATGAAAGTTCAAGTCTTCTGCCCAGCACCCACAGGTCCATCAGATGATCCAATCAGGCACCGACCAAAACTGAAGATGCCTCTCAGTCACCTCATCGCAGCTGCAGGGCAAAGTGTCCTTGACTCTCTGGGAAAGGAATGTTGTTTTGACTACCTCTCACCCATACTCCATATAATCCCTCCTCCCATTTTCCCACAGTAGAAATTGTGGCAGGCCTAAAGGCCCAAATGTAAAAGATGGCTTCCAGGTCAGACAAAAATTGCACAAAGGAACCATTGGAGAACTGTGGTAAAAATGACCGAGACGGTGTATCCCGCAGATCATTTTTTTAAATAATTAAAAGAAATTTAATATGGAGCGCTGAACAACAAAATCTCAAATAATAAATTAACAGTCCTTGGCAAGGGATTGACGGGAGAAGCCGGCCTCTCTTTCGGATGGTCATCTCTTGCATCACTGAGATTTGATTTCGGGATCCATCTCCGTCAGGACAGACAGGGACACTAACTGGATAATCCGGGTTGCGCGGGCTGGGAAAGGAAAAGAAGATTGGTTATCATCCAGGCACCGATGGTGGTGAAGAATGATTCAATTCAGAAAAAAATAGAGATGGAAATATAAAGATTATTTACGGTCAGGGGTGTCAAACTCAAGGCTCAGGGGCCGGATCCAGCCCACGGGGTGCTTAGATCTGGCCCACAGGGCCGCCGTGAAAACTGTTCTGACCTAGGCCTCACCAAATCACGAAAACAGACTCCTTATCCCAACCCCAAACCCCTTTTTATTTGGCTAATGTGAATTCCTAGCATTCACATCCAGCAAAGTCCCAGCAAACAGTCTTTCAAAGGTGTATTGCAAACACCGACCTTATCAGTCCTTGGATAGTTGCCAGGCAGAGAGCTTCCAGGCCCACGCTGTACAAGGAAATACTTGGCAAGGAGCCTCTCAGATAAGCAAATCTTCACACTAATAAGCGAACTAATTGTCTCCTGCAAACTCCACTCCCCTTACGCTCCTATTTATTTCCTATGGGAGGGGCCATTCAGCGTCCCCTTGTGCCTTTACTCCCGAGTCAACTCCTGTTTCTTAATTGTTCCTTTCTCCTGACAGCTCCGCGCATGCGCACATCGGAAACA